GCCGCCAGTTCCAGTCGTCGGCGAGGGCGTTCGTGGGGAAGATGTGAACAGCGTCGTCGAAGGTTTCGCGTTCTGCAGCCCCCACCGCGGCGATGAACCTTCGCTTGAGTACGTCCCAGTCGTCTGCGGTCTGCATGCCCTCGGCGATACGCAGTAGTGTGTCGCGGAAGGCGGCCTGCTCCGGACCTTGCTGGCGCATGACCTGCGTGAGCTCGACGGCGTTGTTCATCGACAGCCACGCTTGCAGTCCTTGCATGCTGAGGCCGCCCGTGGAAGGATTGTGTTTCCACAACGGGCTAGCCCCGACCGGAGGAAGATGTGCTGGGTCGCCGACGAGGATGATGCTTAGGCCTCCGAATACGTCTTGGCGGAAGTCCTCTATTCCATCTCCCCTCCGCCCCTCCACGGCCTGTTTTCCCCTCGCGCTCATGAGGCCGAGCATGTCCTGACCCACCATGGAGAACTCGTCGACGAGGATGAAATCGACCTCAGCCATGCGCTCCTGCAGGTCCCTGAGAGCTGCTTCGGTCATGCGGCTGGGGTCCGAAGACCGGTTGCTCTGGACGACGGGAATCCTGAAACCGCCGTGGATGGTCTGCATCAGCGCGAAGGGAAGGTTGTTGGAAATCGTCGAAGGGGAGGCAACGTGTTTTTGCCGTACCTCCACCATGGAAGGCTGATTTCACAGCACAACCTAACTAACAGAACATGCAAAAAATGATTGACAATATCTGCTCACCATTCCTCCGATGGCGCAAGCAGCGTTCCCCGTTGGAGCCATGAGGATGAACCGCTGCTGTCCCACCAACTTCACCATCTCCCGATTGACAACCGTCTTGCCGGCGCCCGCCGTCCCCGTGAGCAGCAAACGGAGAGGACTCGGAGGCGCCGGCAGGGGGGGGTGCGCGGCCCTGGCGCTGTTGTCTCTGCGGCTCACGCGGACGGCTTCTCGGTAGGAGTCGAGGCTCGCCGCGTGATCTCTCACCAGTGTTACAGCGAGAGCCTGCTTCTCGTTGAGGACTGGTACCGGAAGCACAGCCGATTCTGTGGAGGCGGGACCGGCAGCCGCGGCACCAGCAGAGTCCTTCACCCAGGTAGTGGAGTCTTCCCGCACTCCTTGTGCCTGGGCCCAACCCGCCTGGTCCCAGTCGACGTTGTTGCCGTCGCGGCCGTCGCTCCACCGCCGATCTAGGTCATCGTCCCCAACCCCCCCCTGCAATCCGTTCCCGTGCAGGCCGTCGAGGTTTGGGGGTTCATCGTCGTTCTCCTTCCTTTCCCCGTCGCCTTCGTGGGGCTCACCTC